CTGGACGCCGCGGCCGCGCTCTCGGTGGCCGAGTGTGTGGAGCGCATGGCCTCCACGCTGCCCAAAAGCGACCCGAACGAGGTGAAGGAGCTGCTGAAAAGCAACAAGAAGCTGGCCAAAATGATCGGCCACATCTTCGAGATGAGCGACGAGGACCCCCACAAAGAGGAGGAGATCCGCAAGTACAGCGCCATCTACGGCCGGTTCGACTCCAAGAGGAAGGACGGGAAGCACCTGACGCTTCACGAGGTAAGAGCGGTGTCCCTGGGGCTTGTGCTGCTGAGAGAAGAGTTTGGGTGCGGCGCCCAGGGGTGCCCCCCTCCCCCCCCAAAGCAGCGATAGAACATGGAGGTCTCCGCGAAATGCAGCCTTTGCGAAAGATATGTTTCCTGTGTCATGTTTCCTGTGTTGAGCTCAAACATGTTGAGCTTCGGAACTACAGTGGAGGGTCACTTAGAAAAATGTCAGAATTTAAACAGTGAAAGCACCAAGTCTTTGCATTTACAAAGCAGTTTGTTGTTTCATTAAATAGAATTTAAATGTAACCATTCATTTAAAAAACATTTTTGTAGACAAAAAGAAATTGGAGAAATAACCAGAACTTAAAGCAATTTTCAGCTAGCATAGAAAGCAAAATTAGATGAATGTTGTAGGAATTATTTTAACTTTGGTTTCATTTATTTGGACTTATATTGTTTTGGTTTGATACTTGGCATTAAAATTCCTCGTTTTATCTTCCTGGCACTCTATCTAGAAATACTCCGCTTCTGTGTAACGCATATATATATCTCATTTGCATTTACTCCCTCTCTCTTGTCCATCTGGCCAACACATCATCTTAGGATTTAGCTCAAGCATAAGCTTAACTCTGATATGCTTGCCTCCACTTCCAATGACCTCTCCTTCCCATGTTTATCCCCACAGACACTGCTGTCCCAGTCACTTCAACTCTTTATTGTACTTATTTGTACGCTGGTCTGTCCCTCTCCATCTGTTCGGGTTTTGTGACGGCTGAGATAATGTCTCATTCATTTTATGTCCTCAGAACCGAACACACCCAACAAATGCTTGGAAAATAAATGCATTTTCAAAACTTTAAAAAGATATTCTATAGTTAAGTTTTTTATAGCCATTTATCCTTTACAAGAAAGAAATAAGCCCTGTTTGAAAAAAATGTTCCGTTGGATGCAGAATTTCATGTTAGAAACATGAGATCATTCCCCCAGACTTGTATGTAACAGTAAAAAAGAATTTATACTTAGGCAAAAGTAGTCAGTTATTGCAAAAGATGTCAAGTGATTGACTCTGTAAACTTTGAGATACTTTTCTTTATATTTACAAATATGAGATCGTATTTTGCACACTGTTCTCCAAATTCCTTTCTTTTTAAAAGTTAACATGCACACACAGTACAATATGCTAGTAGATATTTTTTAAGTCAGTACACACAGAGCTACCTTATGGGTTGCATGTTTTTCTATAGAATATATGCCAACATGTAAAATTATGGGGTCAAAGGAAATATAAATTTAATATTTTAGTAGATACTGCTAAATTACCTTCTAAAAGCTGCAATAATTTACATCTTCACTATCATTATATGCAAGTGTCCATTTCTCTACGCTTTTGCTAATATTGTGTTTATCATTCTATTTTAAATTTTAAAAATTGTTTTCAATTACAGTTTGCATTCAATATTATTTTGTACTAGAGGCCTGGTGCACGAAAATTCATGCACTCGGGGGGAGTCGCTCAGCCCGGCCTGCGCCCTCTCACAGTCCGGGAGCCCTCAGGGGATGGATGTCCTATTGACAGCTTAGGCCCTCTACGGGAGGCGATCGGGTGGGCGATTAGGGTACAGCTCCCACCCCCATCACCCCGCCGCTGCCGCTGCCACTGTCCTCCCTCTGTGGGAGGCAACCGGGCAGCCAATCGGGACAGCACCGGTGGGTTCTGGCTTGGCTGGCCTGGCATGCCTGCTTGCCGGCCCCGCCCCCCCGCCGACTGGTTGTTCTGCCGTTGGGCCGACTTGCATATTACACTTTTATTATATAGGATTAGTTTCAGGTGTGGAGCATCGTGGTTAGACAATCGTATACTTTATAAAGTGTTCCCCCCAATATTGCCAGTGCCCACGTGGCACCAAACATCGTTATTATATTATTGACTATTATCCTTTTTAATCTTTGCCAATCTAGTTAGTAGAGGAAAATTTTTCATTGCTCAAATTTACTTTGCTTAGTAAGGATAAATAATATCTTTTAATATGTCTTACAGACATTCAATTTTATGTTTATATTTTTGTCCTAATATTGAGATTGTTTGTCTTACCAGTAAAAAATTGATTGGTAAGAACATTTTTATCTTAAAGATATTAAATGTTTGCCCTGACCGGTTTGGCTCAGTGGATAGGGCGTCAGCCTGCGGACTCAAGGGTCCCAGGTTCGATTCCGGTCGGGGGCATGTGCCTTGGTTGCGGGCACATCCCCGGTGGGGAGTGTGCGGGAGGCGGCTGATCGATGTTTCTCTCTCATCGATGTTTCTAGCTCTCTGTCCCTCTCCCTTCCTCTCTGTAAAAAATCAATAAAATATATATATTTTTAAAAAAGCTATTAAATTTTTGTCTTATGTTGTAAACGTTTTCCCAGATTCTCATTTGTCCTTTGACCTTTCAGACCGTTTGCCCTGTGGAAGTGTAATTTTATGTAAGAATACCTATTGTCTGTGTGAGTGCACAGTCTAATTCTCTAACCCTTCACCAGTGTAGAGTTATTCTAATAACTTAGCTACATAATACAGTTTGATGTCTGGAAAGGCAAGTGCCCCTTCAGTAGTCTTGTATTTCAGCTTTGTATTTTTTAGGTAATCTTATCCATTTCTCTTTCCAAATGAAATTTTTTAATGCATTTGTCACATTTTCCAAAAATTTCTGGTGGTATTTTCATTATAAATGCCTTAAAAGTACAGATTAATTTGTAAAGAAAAAAAATGACATATTTACAACACTCCCATATAGTATATGTATTTACTTATTTAGATCTTTTATATTTCTTGGTAATTTTTAAAGTTTTTAATTCACATAGGTTTTGCATATTTCTTTTTAGGTCATATACTGTGCATTATATATGCATGTTAATGTCTATATTATATATATGAAAATTTAATTCGTTTATCTAGAATATACACATATCCTATATAATAAAACCCTAATATGCAAATCGACCAAATGGCAGAATGACTGGTCTCTATGATGTGCACTGACAACTAGGCGGCAGATGCTCAACACAGGAGCTGCCCCCTGGTGGTCAGTGTGCTCCCACAGGGGGAGTGCTGCTCAGCCAGAAGCTGGGCTCACGGCTGGTGAGCGCAGTGGTGGTGGCAGCACTAAGGAACAGTGAGCAGAGCAGTAAGGAGCAGCGAGCAGGCAGGCGGTAAGGAGACTGCAAGAGGGATCCCAGACTGCAAGAGGGTGCAGGCCGGGCTGAGGGACCCCCCCCCCTTCTCCAGTGCATGGATTTCATGCACCAGGCCTCTAGTATAAGATATAAAAATAATATAGTTATAAATGAATTTTTCCACTTTAAAAAAATTGCTCTCATTGGCTGACTTTTGTATATTAATCATGTTTGCAGCAATTGTACTATCTAATCTTTTTAAAAAATAAGTGACTTTATTTTTTAAAATTTATCTTTATTGTTGAAAGTATTACAGATGTCTCCCTTTTTTCACCCATTAACCCCTGCCCCCACCCCTGCTGTTTCCCAGGCCTTCACCACACTATGGTCTATGCCCGTGGCTTATGCATATGTGAATGTAAGTTCTTCGGTGGGTCTCTTCCCACCCTCTCCCCTCCCTGCCTTCCCTCTGGGATTCTTCCGTCTGCTCCATGCTTCTATGTCTCTGGATCTATTTTATTCATCAGATTCCACATGTGAGTGAGATGGTGTGATGCTTGTCTTTCTCTGGCTGGCTTATTTTGCTCAGCATAATACTTTCCAGGTTAGATATGAGTGTATATGGGAGCTTAAGATCAGAGAAGTGATGAGCAAAAAGTACTTAATCACAGTGAACCTGTGACTTGATCTGTTTTGGGCCTATCCTTTTGCAGATGTTATGCCTTATTGTTGCCATACAGTGACTGCTGACTCTCGAGAACTTGTAAGTAGAGCTAGAAAGTACACTTAGTGTTATAATTCGGATATACCTGGGCACTTTCACTACCTGTGAACCAATAAAAGAACCTACTAAAAGGCTATTGTGGTTGTCAGTATTAGAAAACAAAGAGAATAACTTGTTGGCAATTTTATTTCATGCTTTAATCCAGTTTTCATATAGTTTTTAAAAGATAGCAGATGAAACACAAAGTTTTGTTAAAAGACCCATATTTTTTATCAGAGCAGAAGTATGTTAAGGCGATGACTTTAATAAACCAAATCAACCTCACATTTTTAAAAAACAACCCACTATAACCTATTTTGAAAATATCCAGAACGAATAGTTTCACATTTGGCTTTGCTAAGGGGCTCTTTGCTTCTTTGGATAAAGAGGTACAGATGGTATTTAAGTAATGAAACCGTGGTGGCTTTCCCCAAATAAGGGGACACTTAAAATGAATGCTAGTAGGCTGAGATGTGGGGGTGGGGGCTTTGGAAAATGTGACTTGTGTTTTTGAAACTTACACTACTGGTTATTTGCAACTCCGGTATGTGAATCTGGTCCAGTATTATAGTTCAGGATAGACGTTTATAAATCAGAATTTTTTTTCAAAGTAGTAACCATTCAAAAGCTTGGTGGAAGTTATGAAATCCTGAGGGAATTAAAAGTGTACCTTTTAGATATTATGATAATTTCACATTTTTTCACTTGACTATTTAAAATAAGAATGATTTTGCCCTAGCCAGTTTTGCTCAGTGGATAGAGCACCGTCCTGTGGACTGAATGGGTCCTAGGTTCAATTCCGGTCAAGGGCACGTATCTCAGGTGTAGGCTTGATTCCGGCCCGAGTTAAGGGCACATTCAGGAGGCAACCAATTGATGTGTCTCTCTCACATCAATGTTTCTCTCTGTCTCTCTTCCTCTCTTCCACTCTCTCTATAAATCAATGGAAAAGTATCTTTGGGTGAAGATTAACAATAAAATAAAATAAAATTTTTGAGTTTTTCTAAATTTCTAAGATTGATGAATATTACTAGTTTGTCCTCAATTTCCAAATAAGGAAACATATGATTTATTATTAATTCACTGTTGGT